TGTATATAGTATTTAGAATAAATTAGAGATTTCATTACTCTAATATAAGCCTCTGAACTCTTTAATTCAGTCCAAAATTTCCCGCAAGGATTTTTTAAAATTCAGCTTTGTTTGAAGGTCGTTAAAAGAAAGTTATGTCGGCGAACGAGCACTAAGAAAACTCCCCGGGTCGCACATTCCACAATAATGGTAGCAAACTCTCAGAGAATGGCCAGAAAATGCTGTTTTTTTGTTGTTTAAAAAAAAAAAAAAAAAAGCTTTAGCCTTTTAAATAAATTAGAAAAAAGCTTTTAGCCTTATATTTTTTCTATGCGTGGGCGGTGACGTAGCGACAGCTGGAACAACAAACGAACAACACATAACCTGCAGTTCTTATGGTGAAATTTTCGATAATTTCAATGTTTAATTTATCAATACTTTGTATTTTGAAGCCGCGCCCTGAATAAGATCAGCCCAGAGGTTGKTTCAGGKTTTGATCTGTGCGGTTAGTCATGCCCTGAGTAAGATTAGTCCAGACGTTTTTTCAGGGCTCAATCGTATGTGGGAGCCGTGCCCTGATTTAGATCAGTCCAGAGGTTGTTTAAGGTTTCGATCTGTGAGTTAGCCGTGCCCTGATTTTAGATCAGCCCAGTGGTTGTTTCAGGGTTCAATCTGTGAGTTAGTCATGCCCTGACTTAGATCAGCCCAGGGGTTGTTTCAGGGTTCAATCTGTGAGTTAGTCATGCCCTGACTTAGATCAGCCCAGAAGTTGTTTCAGGGTTCAATCTGTGAGTTAGTCATGCCCTGACTTAGATCAGCACAGAGGTTGTTTCAGGGTTCAGTCTGTGAGTTAGTCGTGCCCTGACTTAGATCAGCCCAGAGGTTGTTTCAGGGTTCAATCTGTGAGTTAGTCATGCCCTGACTTAGATCAGCCCAGAGGTTGTTTCAGGGTTCAATCTGTGAGTTAGCCATGACCTGACTTAGATCAGCCCAGAGGTTGTTTAAGGGTTCGATCTGTGAGTTAGCTATGCCCTGACTTAGATCAGCACAGAGGTTGTTTTAGGGTTCAATCTGTGAGTTAGCCATGCCCTGATCAGAAAAAAAAATTCTGAATATGTATCTTGTCGAAAAGCGTTAAACAAATTTTTACTTTTGGCTATATATATTTTAAACAATTCTTATCTGCGAATATTGTGATACATCGCATTTTAAATAACGAGTTTTTCTTAACTGTTTCCCAACTTTTCTCATTTATCGAAAAAGAAGGCTAAAATCAAATCAAATCAAATCAAATCAAATCAAATCAAATCAAATCAAATCAAATCA